CTTTCCCTCCCCTGCTTCCTTCCCTCCCCGCAGAGAGCGAGAGCGAGCGCACAGGGGCGGACGAGCGGAGACCCGATCCCCTTCGCCTTTTCTCTCTCGCCGGATTTCAGGCCTGTCACCGGGCGGGCAGTGTAGAGCCGAGGCAAATGTTCAAAAGAGCCGCATGCGGCTCCGGAGCCGCGGGTTGCCGACCCCCGACCTAGGGATTGCACATCACCAGCAACAACAAAACCCCTCTTTGTTTTAAGGAGTAAACTAAAACAACAGAAAACATCTCACCCACCCCCCTGAGCCTCTATACAAGCCACAGAGCAAACTGTGCCTGCCGGGAGCAGTACCTTCCATGGGATTCTCACCATGGGAAACAGGAAGGGAAGGCAGAGCTCTGCAAAGACGCGGTGCTGGCTGGCTAATCAGGAAATGTGCTGGAAACACGAAAGGAGCAGAACACATATGTGAAATTGTGCTGCAGGTGCGGTGTGGCTTACTAAAAAAAAATACCAGGATCTGGTGGCGAAAATTCAAACGGTCAGGGAAGATTCGGGGCAGGGAAGATTCAGGAGGGGGCGTTGCCCCAAGGACCCCATTGTAGCTAAAGGCCTGATACACACACAGCTAGGAATTCCTCTTCTAAGGTTGCCTATCTTTTTTTAAAAAAAAGCTTTTTATTTCACCAAAAAAGCATTGGATTGGTTAAGAAGTATTTTAAAAAATATTTTAAATATATTTTATTTTACATATTTTAAGTACAAAACGGTGGCACTGGCAGCCATCTTAAAAGTCATCCCTTCACATAGATGGAAATGCTTCCTCTAAAATAGTGTCATGGGTATGGAAAGATTTGAAAAGCCTTTTGATTTGTTTATATAAAAGATAGTTGCAGACAGTTTTTAAAAAGTTATTGTAAGTACAAGAATTTACAAAACTGACATCATGCCATTCTTACACAAATCGGAATGCATCTTCTAAGACAGTATCTGCAGTGACACATACATTATCTGAAAAAAAAGTATTAGGTATTATTTGGATTTGAGATTCTCTGATCCAAATATATTTGCTATACCCCAATATCCCCAAATATCAAGTCAGTATGGATATCCTATTTGGGAAATATTCAGGATTCCCGAATCTATTTGGCTCCATTATACTCTATGGGGCCATTGTAGTCAATGGCAAATCTCTCCTAGGGTATATTCAGGAGCTTGGGGGGGGGGGGGTTGAGGTAGAGGCACGATATTTGCAGAGTAGCTGTTGGAACCTCTCCCCAAAAGAACTTCCAAGTCTCAAAAAGATCAAATATGAGAATCTCTTAAGTACAAACTGAGGGATGGCAGTTCTGTAGGGATAGCAGAAACAGCACATTGTACTAGTGGCCAGCAGCAGCAACCTGTGCCATTGTGGCAAAAGCCAGCCCGCAGGTCTGCTCTAATGTCAAGCACAGCAACAGATTCACAATTCCAGCAAGGGTGAGGGGTGAGGAAAGCATGGTAGTTTCTGGATGTCAGCAACCTTACAAAGATGCAATGCCATTTGTAAATGCATTGCAGTGATTGGCTGCACAGACTCCCCCCCTCCCCCCTGGAAATCAGGACAAATGGTGGGAAAGAGGCAGAAATGGCAGGAAACAGCAAGGTAGAGAAGGTAAGTCTATCTCTTAACTTTTAACCCACACAACACACACACATACTTTCTACTGCAGGAATTCTCTGGGGGAATCTGTTGGGTTTGTGCTATTTTTCCCACCATTGGAAACAATGGTGGGATGGGGCACCTTCTTTGGCTCTTTCTAGGCACTGCCACATTGGCATTGGGTTGCATTAGGTATATATACTGGGTGGCTCATTTTTCTGTCGAATGCATACCCCTGTTCTTGAAACAATGTTGTATAGTATGTGTTTTTGCTGCTTGATATTAAATATTTTTCCAGCCCTGGGCCTAAATAAGCAGTGCATTTTAAGAGAGGAAGGAGGACCAGACCTTGCTCATACCTTGTTTTTCATCTGCCTCCACAATTGCAAGTGACCGAGGAATCAGCTTGGCTGAGCGACTTTTCAAATATGCATTTCCTGTGTTACATCTGAAGTGTATTTCAAGGACCATGTTTAAACGTAACATGTTACACAGAAGCAATAGTTTAGATATGCATTTTTATACATGAGAGCATGCACCATTATGCACATCAAGACTTTTGCAATAGTGGCTGTATAGAAAAGTTGCTTTGGGTTTATGCATAAATCAGATTGGCCTTGGCCCCGGTCACACGGCAAAGTTGCCACGGGAGAGGCACGGATGGTGGGCGGATTATCCGGGCGCGATCACACC